TCCGGTAAGGCCAAAACCACGAATCTGCGCCTAACACGTATCATATCTCTATCATATCTCACTCTTCCAGGATGAGGAAGATGACGAGAATGCTGCAGTGCTACCGACTGGTAAGAAACCAGATCTTCCACATGATGTCTCAGCACAGGAGCTTGACGTTTCGATGGAGGAGCAGCGCGTACAATCGCGAGTTCAGCGTGCTAAAGTGCTCCAAATGAGGGCCCTCAACGGCGAGGCTATGGGAGATCATGAGCAGGTAGATTAGTTGAAATCTGCTCAAGTGCGTTATCATGATCGGGATACAGGTGAAACCAGAAATTCTGGCCCAAAATGTATTTTATTTTGGTATTTTATGACTCATTTTATTTGATTTTGAAGTTGTATTTCTTGCTAATCTTGAACATAATATTGCAAGGTTTTCACTTTTTGGCTTTCATTATGAATCGAATAGCCGTCATGTTTAAATATTTGATTTGCATCTGTTGGGTAAAAAATTTTACCACATGTTAATAGTACCTTTGTTTGTGTTTTTTTTTTTGGGTAACTCCATTTTTTTTTGGAACAACTGAACATTACATTTCCATCGAGAACTTTTTCATAGAATGTATTGATTAGAGAATTATTCTTGCATTTTTTTCTGTCATTTGAAAATTTTTTTGGGAATAAATTGTGCAAAACACTTGGTTCACTAGGTCTTAGTTTGCAATTCGTCGTATATGGAAGTGGGGCTTATGTTGGCTCATACACTTTTCAATTTTCGGTGATTTTGAAAAAGAAAACCCAATACAGATTGTTTTTCCGTTTTCTGTCATGCTTTCATAATTACAATAGACATCTGAAGTGTTGTTTAAGACGTACAGACAAAATCTACAATCCATGCTGTTTAGATGGAATTTGACGCGGACATTGGAGAGCTACGCCTGCAACCTCCCATCACTGATACCAAGGTATTGTAATTGTTGAGAATCTGCAATCTTTGCGCAATTTTAGCTGAGGATTTCATTTTTGCGTAGCGCAGAAATGTCAGATTCCAGTACTCTAAAGAACAATCGGTTTTTTCTAGATCAAGGGCCTTGGAGGCAGAATGGATGCAGACTACGACAATGAATCCATGTATGATGACTACGATATTGCGAACTGGAGAGATGAAGTGCCCGAGAAAAAGCCGAAGATTGACATGGATGCTCTGAATTATGTTTATGAAGAAAGCAAGTAAGCATCTTACACCTGGAATCATGTCGTCTTGATCATATTGCTTCTTTCAAGGCGCCTGTTGGAGTTGTCTACCCTATCAGCAAGGCCTGTGCATAGAATAACTCTCAAGTGTAGCGAACCTAGAAATGTGTTCAAGGGTGGCGTTGAGGTAAGGAATCTATTATCTTGGTCGCCTACAGCTGAAAAAGTTTACATTCCAGGCAAGGAAGAGCGTTGGTTACAAGAAAAGCAGTGTTATGAACTTGGCTTGCGCACGAGGATCATCATGCAGAGTTAGCTGGAGTCAGGGTGAGTGCACATCAGCTTTGCGAGATTGTATGCGTTAAGGGCGTTGGAGCGCAATCTAATTGTAAGATTTTTTTGGTTCGTTATTTTTTTTGTTTTCATAGTTTTACCTCAACTTACCCTAAAATCTTGCAGATAAGTCCGCTTTTTTGACA